ATGCCAATACACGTGTTACACTGATGCCAATACACGTGTTACACTGAAGGACACTACAGATACTCTGACCTTGAAGTAGTGGAACTGGAAGGGCTTCGTGTTGTGGGTGTAGAAGTGGTATCCGACGAAGACAACTCCCGCCATCAGAACAATTAGCAGCACCACTCCGACTCCCATCCCGGCCTTATGTGCCACGTGCATCTGCAGAACCAATCACAGATGAGGTCTGAAGTCAAATATGGGGAAAACTTCATTTTAATTATTGTAGAAATGAGTAAATAATGTGTTGTTATGACTTGCCTCTTGGCGAGGAGGCGGGGCTTTCAGCGGCCCCTGGAGAACGTGAATGATGCCGTTTGAAGCCAGGATGTCCGAGTCGGTGACAAAGCGGTCGTTGATGAAACGGGACGACTGAGGAGATTAAAAAAAGATTTAAAATGAATGAAAACTAAATTCTCATGTGAATCTACATGTCCAGAACCATTAGCAGCAACTGTTTGTTTGCACTGCCTTAAATGAGCATTTTCTGTCTGAAAGTGGATTGTTTTCATCAGATATCTCTAATTCCTGATTTAAACGATAGTTCTGTGTTTAATAATAAATCTGACCAGAGCCGACAGGCTGAGGAGGTCAGCGACACCGAAGACGGTCAGACTGCCGACACGAGTTCTGATCCGGCTGCCGTTCTTCAGCTGGCTGAGAGGAAGAGCCCGACCCTCCGACAGGTGGAACTCAACATCCCGCTGAGACAGAGTCTGCAGGGACACATGGACGGACAGGTGAGGACACATTCACAAGTAGAAGTACCTGTTGAAAGACCTTTCCCGTGTGACTCACCTGGTTGTCAGGCAGGCCGTTGTTGTCCGGCACAAACAGAGTTGACTGGACCGTCAGGTTACTGAGACGCTTCACAAACTGCTTTCCCAACACAGACGCCTGAGAGTAGTTCAGGATTTGCTGCAGAAGAAAATAAAGAGTAAAAGAAGATTAATACGGTGAAGGTTCAATGGCAACAACATGTGATGACAAAGGTTTAAATGTCTTGTAGTACATCATAAAACATTTGCTTTAATTTATGTGACTCGGCTATAAACAACAACATGTGATAAATTGTGACTCAGCAGAAAACAAACATCAGACTCACTGTGAGGAAGTTGGAGAAGGTCGGTGTGGATTTGAGGACCTGCAGCAGGTTTCCTGTACAGCTGACTCCGTCTCCTACGTAGCCGGGCTTACACTCACACTTCACCTCTGAAACAAAACACAGAATTACTGAAATATGCTAATTATTGATGATCAATACATTAGAATCACACGTCTGATCCAGCAAAAACAATTCTGGTTACGATGTCATTTCAAACTCCTCTCTCACCCTTCATCCGGTAGCAGAAGGCGTCCCAGCTCTCACTCTTTTTGCGTGTGCCGTAGTCCACAATGCCAATGTGTCCAAAACCACATTGGGGGTTGGAATATGTGGTGGGGTACGCCACCCGGGCCTGGTCTAACCAGCCGGCAGCACACATATTCAACCCACCCTACAACAGGACCAGCAGACAGCAGCTTTAACTCAGAGACATACAGGACCAGCAGACATCAAGAATAGAATATAAACTATCTAAAGGATCCGTCCGGTGATCTGCATTTTTCATCAAATCTCATGTTTAAACTCAAACCAACAACACATTGATGTGTTCTGATGGAGCTCTATGGTTAAGAGCAAGAAGAGATATCAGGCATTGATGCACACAATACAGTTAATATGTGAGACAAGTTAGAGACAGAGTGTGTGTGTTGTGTTCAATGACCTGCTGAGCGTAGGACAGCTGGTTGTAAGTCGCCAATTTCCCTCCCTCTGCAGCGCAGGTCTGTTGAGCTGCAGTGAAGTTCAGTTTGTACTGACCTTCACCTGAACGGAGGTGGAACACACCGAGCCTCGCGTCTAGACACACACACACACACACACATTTTCATTACAAACCATTAATAAGAGCATTTTGTGTGACTCTTATTTTGGAGGGAGCACGTCCTGTTTGTCAGCAGAGACACTCGTTTTCCTGAGACAGGTGACGGTTTCCTACCTTCAAAGTGGAGGTCGGTGCATTTGGCATCTCGGTGACATCGCCCGTTGTCTTGGAGACAGCGGCTGATCGGCAGCTCTTTGACGTGACAGGTGAGTCCGTCTCCGATGAAGTCGTCCTTACAGGTGCACTTCTTCTTCCCCTGTTCACACAAACCAATCACAGGTTAGTCTGATGCCATGTGAAGGACATGGTGCCGTCCTCAATGTTGTCCTCACCGGAGCCGTCATGGTGCAGGTGGCGTGTTCGTGGCAGCCGCCGTTGTCCCCCGAGACACACGGGTCGAAGGGCTGGCAGGTGAACCCGTCTCCAGAGTGACCTTTAGGACAGGTGCAGCTCACCTGTTCTCCCTTCTGAGAACACCGGGCTCCTCGAGCACAACCACCGTTCCACGTCTGACACATGTCCATCGCTGCAGACAGACAGGAGGGGCAGAAAGACAGGAGGGCAGGGAGACAGTGAGACAGAGAAAGACAGTCAGACAGACAGGGGGACAAAGAGACAGAGAGACAGGTAGAGACAAGAACCCGTTACATTTTAAAGCCGATCTGAAACTCAAGGTGGATAAACGTTGACATTGTTCAGGTCCGTCAACATTAGTGAGTCTCTCTGTCCTTCCACCTTGTATTGAGCTGGTGGTGTGTTTACCTGTACAGGTGAGTCCATCTCCTTCATAAAATGGCCGACACACACAGGTGTTGTTCTGTTGACAGACGGCTTTTTCCGAACAAGGCGGAGAACACTCGGAGACTTCAGCTGGAGGAAAACACAGATGTGTGTGAGCGTACGGTCTCACTCTGAGGACACCGACAGGTAGTCCAGGACTCACCTTGGAGGGTCTCGCAGCACTCTCCGGTCCAGCCGGACTCACAGAAACATGATCCGGTACCTCTGGGCCCGTCGTCACATGACCCGTGTTCTGAACAGGTACAGGCTGAGAACCAGAAGGAAATAAACCGTTACGCACCTGTAGACACCAAACAGGAAGCTTGTCTGACCCACTGCTCACCTGTACAGGCGTCTCCGTAGAAACCGTCACTGCACAGCTCACAGGCCACGCCCCTGAATCCTGGGTCACAGGTACAGGTGCCGTTACCAAGGTGACCGTCATCACATTGACCGCGGTTACCGCAGGGAGAGCCGCCTCCACCGGGACAGACTGGACAGATCAATCACGAGTCCACCGGTGGGCTCATTAGCCATTCATGACATCACCGTGACATCGCACACATTTAAATGATTTATTCTGACTTCATCTCTACAACTTGTTTTTTCATTACGTAACCAGCGGCGTCGTCTCACCGAGACAGTCTCGTCCGTGGTAACCATGACAACACTTTGGCTGCCAGAAGTTGACGGTGCAGATGCTGCGACAGCCGGAGTTCTTGGTGACGAACATGGTTGGAAGGTCGCACTTCTGAACCTCCTGAAGAAGAAAAAACAAAGACAGGAATCAGACGCACACACACATTGGGACACATTCATTAACATGATGATGACGATGCAGACCTTCAGTTTGGACCCTCTGGAACAGCGAGACGATGAGGAGGTGCAAAGTCCACAGCTCATCTACCACAGAAGAGGAAACCAACAGATCACAGTTAGAGAGACTGTGAACAAACACATTTCATTTTGTGTGGATGGAGAAGAAACGCTCTGCAAGAACATTTAACAAAGAGCATATCCCAAAAATATTCCAATCAAGGAAATCACAGCATAATTCTCAGCCTTTTGCAGGATTGTCACCTTCAAAAACACGTTCAAATCCAAATAGAGATAAAGAAATTCATCGTCAGAAGAAGCAAATAAGAGATTTGTGGTGAGTAAAGTGAGGATTCACCTGAAGGTCGAAGGCCGTCTGTTCATCACAGCGTCCTCCGAGGCTGGGCGGAGTCAGCAGGCAGTCGATCCCGTAGGCGATCCCACCGCTAAAGACGAGGTGTCTCTGAACGATCCGACACTTTCCATCGTTTACAAAGATTTCTCCCTGTTCAACGGAGAAACAACCGGATTAACCAGTGACCACAATATCAACTCTTCTTCTTCTTCTTCACTTTTTATCTGTTTCTGTTGTTCTTACGATGTGGTCCGTCCCTCCACAGGTGAACGAGAGCGGCGAACCCTGCAGAGTCCGAACCGAGTCCAGATGGATCAAAACCTCAGCATAAACCTGAGTGGAGACAGGAAGTAAGAAAAATAAACTAAAAACAGAGAATCAGTTCAGAAGAAGAGTCCTGAGAGGAAAACCTGTGACTCTGAAGAGGAAAAGGTTGTAAAGAGTAAAGAGTTCCTCCTGGTGGCACAAACCTCAGGTCAGATCACATTTTACCTCCATGTGTCCTGGTAAGCCAACGAACGAGTGACTTTGATTTTGTACTGTCTTGTCTTGAGATCACAAACCTTTATTGTGAAAGAGTTTGTACAGTTGTTTAGTAACTCCTTTGTACGTCGCGTTGGACAAACTCATTGGCCAAATGAATGAATGTAATATGTGTGATTTCATTATGCCGATGATACACAGCTTTACCTTCACAAACATCACACTGGTTTTAGTTTGCTGCCTTCACTAATGTCTGTCTAGCTGATAAAATGATTTTATAATTATTTATGAAATAATTCTCTTCAAGACAAGACATATTCATGAACAGGGACTGTCAAGTCTGCTAAATAACTCAAGAACTGAACTGACTCTTAGTTATTCCAGACTTGTGGTTAAAGAACCAACAAGTCTTTTCTGGAACCATCTTCCTGTGGAGACTCATCACCTTCTGGGTCTCCAGGATGTGGTACTTCAGGTACTCCACCAGCTGCGGTCGGTTGTCTCGGTGAAACAGGAAGTCCCTCTGCTCCTGTGGCAGCGACGCCATGACGCCATCTGAGGGCAGGAAGACCGTCACCGGCTGGTGAATCCCATCATTCAACAGGTCCATCACACCTGTGTCCTGACACAAACATACAACATACAAGATCATCAATCAAGAATATAAACATATGTCACTGTTTAACAAGACACATCTACCAATCACGACCAAGAACAAGACACATCTACC